CCCCAAAACCCCAAAACCCCAAAACCCCAAAACCCCAATGTTCTTTGATAGATTGAATGCAATCAGATATAATTGGGATTTACTCCAGGAAAGATTTAGTCTGCGTTAGTTTCATTTATCCTATGAAAAGTTAGAGCTGAACTTACATCGAGTTTCTTTCAGGAGAACTAGCGGGGTCTAGGAGTCTCATTTTGGCATCTAGCTCTGCCTCTAGCTTCTGTAGGTTCGTTGTCTTTTGGGAAGGGGCGGATAGGAGTAGCTTTTCCAATTGATGATTTGTTGAATTTAGTCTTTTAATGTCATTAAAGTTTGAAACAGAGGAGCATTTTGTAAAAAGTAGGTGTTTGGATAATTGTAAGATAGGTGACTCGATTAATAAAGTAATCGGTATAGCTATTAAGTAGCTCAAAATGAAAGCAGCAAACCAATAATAGACAGCAACTCTGGTGGTCATATAAAGAGCTTGCCTGATCTGTGCATAGAACCATATTATGAGGATCAAGTGGATCAGGTATACCATGAAGGTTATCTTTGCCCATGGAGCCCAGGCTGATCCTCCTAATATAAATCGGAGGAATCTGCTTTTGCCAATCATTGGCCCTGCAAGGAAGAGAGCAAGGCCTGTAACAAAGAGTGGCCTATGCAGAGCATTGAAGAAGCTGGCAGGAATCTGTGGCCATACTATCTCATTAGGCTTGCTCGTCTCAGTAAAAGTAATCATGACCAGGAAAAGTATGATTATTGTGCCAATCAAATGGAAGAGATACCTGATGATGTTGCTTGATTCCACAAATCTGAAGAAGATAGCTCCGATTGTTCTCTCGTATTCAGGAGCGGTCTTTGACTTCTTCCACTCGTAATACATGATACCGAATAGACATCCCACGAAGTATGCTCCAAACCTTGCGTGAGGTTTGTGATAAATTTCTGATGGGTTTCCGTCCTTCATGATGGTCATTGGATGATGATGCACGGTAGAAATGATGAAAACAATGATAATATTCATCATTATAAGCCCACTTGTAAGGATATACCCAATGAGTTTGTGCCTACAGTAGGCAAAGACCACAATTGGAAGAATCATGAAGAACATCATATCATTGGATATGTACCACAAGACTCCAATTCAGCCCAAGTCAGAGGTACCTGGATAGAAATTATTAGAGAATGTCAGAACTGTCCACCAATACTTCTTACATGTTTGAATCAACATTATATCGACTGAGTCCCAGATTGGACCAGATCCCATGAAATTTATGAAGGTCAACAATAATGCAATGTATAACCCTAGTGCAGGAAATATCCTGATGAACCTGTGCACATAGATCATAATAAAATTCAGGATGCTAATCTTCATGAGTTTAGGGATCATCAAATATGCTCCAAGAAAAGCTGAGAGGAAGAAGAATGTGTCCACTGAGTAAAAAGCGCCCATTACAAAAATTCCGTACCAATTCTTTTGTATTTTCATGGCTTCATCTGGATTAATGATGGGTAACCCTTGCATAGCTTCGTGAATGTGCCCAAAAATAATATAAGCCATACTTATAACTCTCAGCCCATTGAGCACACTCAAGTAGTCATCACTCCTCTGTGGAGTCCAAAACATTTTCCTCAGGTTCCTTGAAAATGAGAAAGATAGGAAGAATTTGCCGAGGGTGTTCTTAGAGTCGACGAGAGCTTTGTCTTGCTTAGAGTCTTCAATACCCTCGTAGTCTATCTTTCCGAAAAGATTAGAATATTCAACTATAATTCCAAGAAGTCAAATTGCTATTAGTAATCCGAATGCAAAGAAGCCTATCCAGTTGCCTACAGTCACAGGAGGAGGCTCAGAGTCAGGGAAATAAATTTTCCCACTCCCAAAAATACCTGATGTAATAGCAAACTGTGTGATTGCATCAGCAATCAGCTTTGTATTGGCACTGTTACAGGAGCTTGGGATGCAGACGCCTAAAAAGATAGGTTGTGGGAACACATTGAGAGCTGCATAAGTAGTGCCTGGGTTATTAATGCATAGGTCATACTCTCCTAGGTCATTAAAATCCTTGCCAGTTCCAACAATCATCGGGAGTAGATCTGCTTGGTTTCCTTCAGATAATTTCTGGAATATTGCTGATAAGCAGTCATAATCTTGTGCCTTAGAAGGAAGAACAAATCCAAGCACTAGGATCAAAAGGATAATGGGTTTTAAAAAGCTGCAGGGAATTTCAAGTAATCCCATATTTATTTGTATACAAATTTTGAAGTAGATTTTCAATTTAAGCAATTCTTTTAGGGGTTTTGGGGTTTTGGGGTTTTGGGGTTTTGGGGTTTTGGGGTTTTGGGG